GCCATCGCAAAGGGATCACTCTCGCGATGGCAAAAAGTCCATCGCAAGGCGATTTCATCGTAAAACGGAGCGATTGCTATGCGAGGCACCACTGTAATTTTGATTTGTAGTATTGTAGCATTGCTGTGTTGAGTCCCTTCCTCCGTGTATCCCAACATGCATGTGCACATGCATAATCAACCCACACAGGTTAAGTATGGATCTTGTACCTGGAGATAAAGTAAATTGTGGGCAGATTAAAGGCTAGATAAAAAAAATGTCAGTTTCATTACAAAGTATGGAAAGTACAGAACATAGAACTTGGTGAGATAAACTCACTTAAGTTTGAACTGGCAGTTACCTATTTATGTTAATAAAATCAGGAGGTAGAAGAACTGCTGCTCAGTGGTTTAGGCATCTGCCTGCGGAGCCAGAGGTTGGGAATTCAATCCCCTGCTCCTTGACAGTTGCTGGACTTGATAATCCATAGGGTCCCTTCCAGCTCTGCAGTTCTAAGATGATGATAGTGACTAAGAAAAGAAGGCTGAAGATGCAGAAACTGCAGTCAAGGTAAGGGAGAGGGGGGGCTGGGGCTTGGCAGTTTTCCAGGATTAAACTCAGAGCAAACTCAAAATATAAATGGCACAAGGTTGGACATGGTAAGGGTGGAACTGAGGGAGGTAGAGAAAATTAGAAACTGACAGTGGCTGAATTCAAGGATGGCTGGATGGCTACTGGATGGCTAAAAATATGGTAGGAGCCAATTCCAAATTCATGGGTCATCTTTTGATGATTCTGTAGTCGCTTTAATTTTTGTCTGTTGTAAGGTTTTTGGTTTGTTTTTAAGGCCTGGCTTTAAATTAGGAGAGGAGTGTGAGGTTGTGTGGGGAGTGTGAGGTCCCTGGAAGACTCAATCATATGAACAGTAAAATAACCAACGTGGATGCAGAGAGGAGAATTAGGCAAAGAGAATAAGAGAGAAGAAATCTTAATTGCATGCTCTCTAGTCAATCGCAACTCAGGGCAACGATTTCTAAGGTATTCCAGCTAGAGAGTACTTAGAAGTGGCTTACCCATTCCCACATGGTCTAGGGGCAACTTGTCCAAGTTTACACAGACTGGCTCCTCTCCAGGCACAGTGGGGAACTGAACTCCCAGAACCACTTCAGGTCCCTCAGGAAACAGGCATGCATAGCTGGTGTACTAGCTTTAATTGTGCAAAGGCACTCCTGGCTGCCACCCAACCCTTGGCATCCAGGCTCAGAGATGAATCCAGGGTGAGCACCCCCAAGCTGTGCACTTGTGTTTTCAGAGGGAGTGTCACCCCATCCAGTACAGGCTGCAACCCTGTTCCTTGATCTGCCTTTCGACTCACCAGGAGGCACCTCTGTCTTATCTGGGTTTAAGTTTCAGTTTGTTCACCCTCATTCAGTCATCCTCATCCAAGTTTCTCTTAGACCCCTTTCAACCTTTGTAATATAATTCAAGAATCCATATTTGATCCATTAGTAACAGTATTGATCACAGTATTGGTTCTTGTATTCCCTCTCTTATTAGGCAGGCATAATTATGAAGAGATGCTAAGTTACCTGGCAAGCGAAATCTTAGAATCCCTCAAGATTCTAACCAAATGTCAACAAATATGCTTAGACTGGGGAGGAAGAAAAGGATGAAGACAGTAGGGCAATGAATGAGGATTAGATTGGGCCTAAAAATTTCCTGCCACTTGATTAAGGGATGCATTTGACATAAAGTTGCATTGATCCAAACCTGAAAGAATGATCATTAATAACATTTCTTCCTGTGCTCCACAACATTTTTATTGGGACTCTATGGCTACATCATGCTGGGTTAATTCATTCACTAAATAAATATGATGTGAGAAGGACAGCATCAGTGAGATTTCAGTAAGACTGTTATTCCTTTTGGAGGTTTTAGGAAGGTAAAGGGAAGCCCAGTTTTACTATATATATGTCCTGACTATGAAGATCTGTTCTGTTGCTTGACTTTTTTCCCCCCTGAATTTACTTCTGAGAAATACTTAAATGGTTCTATGATTTAGTCCAGAAGGTTGCAAAGCCAAAATGGGATGTGCTCAGGAGGAAGGAGGGAGAGAGGTTTCCCTCCTGGGCAACAGAACATTTCTTTCTTGCTTTAAAAAAATTGCAGGCTTGATACTTCTTAATTTCCCCTATACTGCCAAAATTTCTAAGGCACCTCATCTTTCAAATTACACAGAACTCCAAAATTTAGAAACCATCTTGTGTCACCAGCCTTTTAAAACTGATCAAACGCCTCTTTTCAGAAAATAATTGAAGTCGATTAGGGATTCCAGAACATCCCATGGATCAAATCCCACCTCACCTGTTGTTTTTCTTAGATCTATATATTCAGATCTATAGGCAGATCCAGGATGGAAGTGATCCGGAGCAGAGCTGTGTTGTCAAGAGAATTCTGTGTAAGTTTTGTCTTAGCTAAAGTGGCAGAGACTTGAGTAGTTTTTTTCACTTCCCTTTTTTGGAACCTAATCTTTCTTGAGCAAGTCCGCATCAAGAAGGTCCACAGAGTTTCAAACATGGGGAAACTAGGTTGTTTGTTTGTTTTTTGGTAAATTATCATTTGCATGGCCTAGTACAAAATTTGGAAAGGAATGTATCAGTGTAAATATTTTTTTGGTTTACTTTCATTTATTCTAAATGAGGAGCTCACAGTGATCCCCACAGTGAAAACACATAAGGATGATTAGATGTGATTTGAGTCCTTTGGAAACTCTAATGCCATCAGCACTGAGGACAGGAAAGAAAGTTAAAGAGTAGTTTGCTAAGCTTTTGATACCAAGAATCCTGCCATTATATGATGTTCTGAATATTGGACTAGGTAGGAATTCTAGGTGAGCTGTCATCGTACTTTGCCTCTAGTCAAATAGTAGATCTGAAGTGACTATGTTACATGGGTAAGCTATCAAACCTGGAACACTTTTTCCAGTTACGATACCATTGTCCATTTCTTAGCAGTAGCTTCGTGTGGCTGGTGCTGGGCCAGAGGCAACTGGGTTAGGCCCCAGCTTATTGCTCCCTCTAAATGTGGGCTGCTGTCCTTCATTTGTTAGGGACCCCTGGTGAAGGCACAAAATATATCTCAAGGCTTGGAGATATTTTTATAAAGCAATTTGAACCAGTTATTTCATGGCCAATGAATAAAATCGGTAAGATTTTTTTAAACTTGATCATGAGTAGGTGGGTAAACATTGTGTGGTAAGCCTAAACTAAGACTTGGGTGAACATTAGGCTCCCCAGTATCTTTTCATGCCATTGTGTACGAGTAGACATGCTAAAACTTGAAGAAAAGTTCACCCAGTTTCTTAGAATGGTCCTTTT